CCTCTAGAACCTCCAGTGAACCAACCACAGAACCAGTCCCTGTAGAACCTCCAGTTAACCAACCACAGAACCAGTCCCTGTAGAACCTAGAACCTTTCATGCCTGGAGACTCTGATGACGCAACTTTCCTGTTTGGCCTGTAAATGTAAGACTCTGCAGCATTTCTGGGTTCCTCCCTTTAGAACACATTCAGTACTTTAGAGTTCTTGGTCAAACAGAACAACATGTTCTGCTTGGTGTTCCTGATGAACGGACCACTGACGGTACTGAAATATCCCAGAAATCGTTAATGTTCTACCAGACCGATGGTAAAGGAACAGTCCAGGTTCTCTCAGTCAGGTGTGTGGGAACAGCCAATCATGAAACACCTTCAGCTCTCGCAGATGTTCTCCATTTTTAACGCAAAGCTGTGCGTTTTGTCCGTCCTCAGCTCCCGTAGTCCGTCTTGAACACACTCAGGACCTTCAAGACGAAAGTGTCCCCAGTGAAACCCATCAGAACTGATGCATCAGAACCCGCTGATGTCACAGCAGGAAACAGAACCTTTCTGGACCTTCAGCCTCACAGTAGTCCTTTTGGACTGTGAAACCTTTTTTTAGTTACGATCAAGTCTTGTGTTGGGTTGTTGAAGGGGACGCCTTGGTCTGTAAGGTCCTGACTGACTGTTTAAAATCTGAAACTTCGTTAACAGTAGTAATGCATCAGAATTAATGGAGCTCATCACTGAAACATGCCAGTGGGTGAATATCTCAACTAATTCCTCACATTTAGCATTTTATGGCTCTTTTCTGCCTGTGATAGGGTTAAAGGTGGTTTTGTTGTTTTTGGCTCAACGTGTCGCCTTTTGGAGACATTCAGTGGATTAAACAGAGTGGAGTCGCCCTCCTTCGTCCCACGTGTGGTTCCAGGTGATAGCGGTTAAACCTGGGAGGTAAAACTCAGGGCTTAAGATGCTGACGGCTGAAACATCACCTCGTCTCCTCTGACTCTGGACTGGATTTCCTAAGACTTTCAGCTTGTGTCCTTAAAGGATTGTTCAGGTTTATGATCCTGTTAACATGAGACCAAGCTTTGCTTAAAAAGGTCCAAAGATCCTATCAACACCTGATTTAGATGGACCTCCGTCTATGTGCAGAGCTGCTCTGCTCCCAGAGCTCCTGCAGTGCTGTAGCTCCCCCTGAAGTCCTGATCTGGAAACATGTGGGCTCCATCTGGGACCAACCTGCTGGACTGAGTCTCCTGGGCTTTCATGTTGGAGGAGAAGATGGAGAAGTCAGCTGTGGAGACAATTGTGTTGTTGTGGACAGAGTCTGGTGTCAGTCAGCTGAGACTGTCGGAGCAGCGCCATGAATCACAGGTCAGCTGCTTGAATGTTCTCAGGACGTTCCAGTGGAGCGCTGAGCTCAGTCTGGAGGACGAGCTCACAGAAACAACCGGGTGGATGTTGGAAAGAAAACAAATTTGCAGATAAATGGCTCAAATCGTGTGTCTACAGTGGTTTATAATTAGTCCAGAGTGACTCAACATATGATCAGAATGCTTCAATGTTTAACACAACAGTTGTTCAAAGTTCTGAACAGCAGCTCAAACATGAAAGCAGAGACACAGTGAGTCAAACTGTGAAACTTCATGGTCTCACCTGGTGTCTTCAAGTGTCACATTAACGAACAGATTGAGGAAGAGCAACCAGGGAGCATCGACTGAAGGCTACCAACATGGAGGAGCAGCTGCAGGGAGCTTTCAGCCCAACATGCGCTGTTCTGTGGACAAGAGCTGAGAAATGTTGGAAAGTTTTGTCATTTTGGAAAAAAAGGGAATTTTAAACAGTTTAATTTGACCAGCTTTCAACTTATTTTGGACAAATCTGGAGTCAATCTGGACAATTCTGAGTGATTTCTGAGCAACGGAAAGATGCTCGTGGTTCAGTTTCCTGACAGAAACACAATTCAATTCAATTCAATTTTATTTGTATAGCGCTTATTTACAACAACAAGTCATCTCACAGCAGCCAGAAAAAGCCTTCAGTCAGCACTGAGGGACCCTCACTGTTTACCTGCAGGCAGAACTCAGGACAAAGAGCTTTAAACAGTCCTGACATCAGCTTTATTGTTTTTTTTTATCCTGAAGGAATGTAAAGATGCAGCATCAGCAACCAAAGGAAGGTCCAGTGGAGACTCCTGCTGAGGGCTTATCATGCACTCCACTAGATTATTAGACTCTGGTATTATTCAATAATAGTCATTAGCTCAGCAGGTGAACACATGAACCAGGTGAACACAGTGTCTGTCAGCAGCTGGTGGAGACCAAACACGGAGCTAAGACTGAAAGAACACTGAGGTTCTTCAGGCTGTTTCGTCAGGTTTTACTGCTGGAAACCCAAATACATTTCAAATCAGCGAATACCGCTTTAAACATATTAGAAATTAAACAGAACCAGAACAGAGCCCTGAGGAACCCCAGAGGTCATTGCGGTTATGTTGTTTCCTGTTAGAACCATTCATTTGTGTTTTTTTAAGGTCAGTAGAACCACACAGTAAAGTGTTCTTACAGAACGTTACAGAACAGCGTGTTTACAGCAGAGGAATACGTCTATGAAGTTACCCAACAGGTTAAATATTCCGGTTCTGTGGTCCTATTAAATACTGAGATCAAACCAACTAGAAACTAAAATTAGAACCTCGAAGAGTGTACATGAAAACACAAACCGAGTGAATGTTGCTCTTGGTTTTATTTTTATGTTTTCTTCTGGCTTTTTAACGTGTGGAGCAGTTTCCTGTCAGAGCTCCTCATCACTGGGATGGACGAGGTTTAGTGCTGCAGCTGTTTCCTGGATCAGAGTTTCCTTCAAGGTCTTGTTTAGTCCAAAGATCTTCAGTTTACTGTCCCAGAGGAAAGAATCCAGACAACATTCACCGAAGAATTAAAGACAGAAATCAGAGAAAAGGCACCGTTGTTGTTTTGTTTAAATACTCAAACTGATGAACTGATTATCAGAACAGCTGGAGATAAATGCAACGGTTGAGAACAAACTAAAATATCCATGTTTCTGCACAGGCTTCGGTCCTACCAGACTTCATTCAAAATGTTCCTAATTTATTGTTTATTAGAAGCTGATTGTCACAGTGGTTGGAGATGGATTTAATGGCAGAAAACTAATCAGCAGCTGCTGACTTCAGTCATGTTCTGACCAAAACGTTTCCTTTTTGGTTTCCTGCTCCACCAATTTGACTGTTTGAAGTTTTTTTTCATAAACTGAAAATGTTAAAAATGGACACAGAAAGTCTTCAGATGTCTGACAGTAAACTGAACATCTTTGGACAAAATCAAACGGTGATGGAGG